GGGAGCCTTTACGGCACTGGGGTAATGATGATGATGATGTTTAGATGAATCATAACTGATACGCTTCTTGGGTTGGATGAGAGTACGGCTTTGAAATAAGCAAAGTGGATGGCACATATTCGTGTGGACGATTGATCCCTTTTCTCTCTCTCGTTTTCTTTTATCTTCTTTATCTTTCTATGTTCTTATGTTATTTTTATCTTCTTTTTTTTTGCTTACCTTTCGTCTCTTTTTGGCTTTAATGTCATGGATTGGTTCATGTTCGCTAATCCCAAAATCTTTTGGGAATAAGGCTTGGATGTTGTCGTTAGTTGTATGTTTAGATTTCTTATTTATTTAATTAATAGACTTAAATAAGAAAATTGAGCATTTCCAAATGCTATGTATATAAGATAAATTTATCTAGTTTTATCATATCATTTCCCCCATATTTTCTTTTCTTGCAATTTTCCTCGAGGCTTTCTTTGCACAGTATATTTTGGAATATAAACAGACCCTGGGTAAATTATAAAGGTATATGTATGATATATTTATGAATGAATTCACCACGGCATCAAATTGTGTCTTAGATGGAAAAGTTTCATTTTTGTCCTCCTATATAGTGCTGATATTCACTATAAAAGGTGAAAGGAGTTATTTCTTTGAGTATATTTGATGATAGGGAAACTTGTAAAATGTTATACTATTTGTAGGTTTTAGAAATTGGGTCAATTGGGAAGAGTGTCACCGACGGCGTAAAGAAATTCTTTGCTCATCTTACTGAGGTAAGATGTTTCTCACTTGCTTTGCTTGAAACTTTAGGTATAACTATTGAGAATACTCAGAACTATGTTTACCGTACAATTTTTTGTATATGCTTTTGTAATGTCAACTACGTGATTCCTTTACGGGGTTTGATGCTCACAGATCTAAAATTAAAGAAATGGTGAAACAAGTTTTTAATACTTATCATCTGGAGTTGATTCCAGAGATGGTCTCACTGTGTCACAACTATATACGCGTTCCAATTTGCCATCCACTAATCATGGGGAAATGTGAAACGGCATCTTTAATATATAAAAATTTGTTTGGAGAGTTCTAAAGAGTTTCCCAAACAGAAACATACTCTTTTCCAAGAGTTTCTGTGCTTCATTGGTCATCAACTGTTCGTTTCATACCTGTTAGCATTATATATATATTATATATGACAGTATGACACATATGTTATCCTTTTTCACAGGGCTCTTCCACAAACGAAACTTGGAATTCATTGCTTCATGCTCAAAACTCAATGAAAACAGAAAGTATTGAAGTCTCAAAGGCAAAGAAATCAAATCCTGGGTTACCACCATCTTCATTAATGGCATTTATGAGAAAGGTTAGGGTAAAAAATGTGTTGCATTATGGTCTCAACTTTTTCCTCTGTTTTAAGAATAAAAAAAACCGTTTCTGGCTCAATTAGACTGGGAACATTGTTTGATCCTGGTGTAAATTTAGAATGCCCCTCTGCACATGCCCTAAATCTCTAGAGTAGTAGAACATTAAGTTCGGCCCAGTAATTATTTTGACACTTGACCCGTTCTAACAGAATCCGCAAACTTCTGGCATAGTTTTGGAAGATTTTGATGATGCATACAGGAACAATTTCTATCATAGTCACCTTGATGATCTTAGTGAGTTGATCTTATCATATTCTCCTTGGTTAGTCCATCTTTTGCTCGATACATAGTCTTTTCATTCAATGTGTTGCTTTGATGATTTTAGCAGCCAACATCAACTCTTCAGCATTAGTCACAGCTGCTTCTCTCGTTGCCCGAAGTTTATACATCCTTGCCAGTGACAAGAATGAAGTTAATGCTTCGCTTCTAAACACTATAAATGCAAATTCTTCATTGGTTGAAGAACTTCTCAGTTGTCTCCTAAGTTGTGAACCAGGCTTATCATGTGGAGTTGTGAAACGCTACATTTCTCCTTCCTTCAGCTGCCCAAACCATTATGTTGGTGTTATCACTGGGGAACCTTCCTCTGTGCCTTATCCTGGTAATGTGGGGGATGTCTCTCGGTTTATATGGAACTTTTTGGCAGAAAAAACATCCATCCCATCTTCCAATACCAGTTCTGCTTGCCCAGAAGATTGTGGCAATGTTGGGGAATCATGCATCCGAACAGAAACAGACGGGAAGGGCATATGTGTCATCTCCACCACAAGGTACAGAGCATTTCTAAAGGCTCAAATATAGCATCTTTTTGTCTCAAGTTCCATGCAAATTCAATAATAATAATAATATTTTTAATATTATGATTAATATTACTCCTTCCGTATTTTTAAGATTGCTACATATGGTTTTGGCACATTATTTGAGGAGGAAAATAGTAGGGGTAATGAATAGCGTAGAAAAAGTAGGAGAGTATGCGTAAAAGTATGAAAGAGAAGATAAAATGTAGAAGAACAAGGGTAGTTGAGTATTTTTACGGGGAAAACTTATTAAAAGGGAAAAATGTAACAAACTTTTAGATATACATCTCAAAAAGAAAAGTGTAGCAAACTTTAAAATACAGAGTATTATTCTTCATCCATGTAATTTAGTTTATTTTCTTTTTAGCTCCTCCCAAATTCTCCTTTGGACTGTTGTTTTAAAAAAGGCTTGCATGGTACACACAAACTTCTCATAGAACTCCGGTTTTGCTTCTCCACACTTTCTTCAGAAGTACTATATACTCCCTCCGGTTCTTTTTAAACTTCAGTGTTTGACTTCACAGTTATTAAGGAAATAAAGTTGACTTTACTGTAGAGTACACTATTGAGACACTGTTTGACACTGTTGAGACACTGTTTGGCACTGTTGAGACACTGTTTGGCACTGTTTAACACTGTTTTGATGTATATTTCTTTGCCAAATAAGGAAGTATGAAGTTTATTTTGGACCGTCCCAAAAAGGAAAGTGTGAAGTTTATTTAGAACCGGAGGGAGTATTATATTTCAACAGTTGGAGACACGTAAATTTAAAGTAGAACAGTGTGTGTCATTCGGCCCCAATTCTCCTTGTAGTCCCAGAAGAGTTATAGAAAGTTGACTTGGAAAAGGTCGACAATGAGGGACACAAAAGAAAACATTGTAATTTGCTTGCAAGAAAATCAAAGTAATACAGTAATAATTAAAGGTCATAAAAGTGATAAAACACATTTACTACACAATAGTCCATTACTGTTTTGAGTGGGGAAATGTGTAATTTCAGGTATGTACCAGCTTATTCAACTAGATTGAAGTATGAAACAGACACTTGGAAAGTTCTACCTTCCAATGCCACTATTGGGGCCTCTGAACCCGACCAGGATCCTGTTTGGACAGAGAGTAATTGGGACACAATAAAGCTTCGAGTTTACACAATGCAGGATGCTGCATTCGATCGCTTTGTTCTGCTACTTGGAATTGGTGTTACGGTTTCAGCTTACCTCTTAATAGTGATGGCCAGAGCCTTCATCACAAAGGCCATGAAGCGTGATTGACTTAGAATATAACGTTTTTTGCACTATCTCGCCAGCTCGGCTGTGATGAACTTTGGTGTACATTTTTTTGTGCTTCCTTAGTTTACGATTTTTTGTATGTCTGTATGTGTATTCTCTTCGAATGAGTTTTTTGTCATGCTAATTCTCTTTTTATCATGCGTTTATTAACTTTGTTATTTGCTCTCCTCATCTCAAGTCTCAACATTTGGTGCAGCTGTGACTCCCTGTGAGGTATTTCCTTAGATTAATATAATTAGTCTAGAGGATTGAAACCATTAAGGATCACTTTCTCAACTATAAGGGAATTGAAATATTACATTTCAAAACAGACCATAACTGAATGATTGAAGTCAATTTTTTTTCAATACTAACGGGTCATTTTGTTGACAAGATGTACTTATGTAGAAATGGAATATAAATTTTATTGGAACAGGATTTAGGAATTAAGTAGCAATCCAGATTTATGTAGTGTTTTGTCAACTATGGAACATCAATGGCAATAACTTCCACAATTATCAAAATACCCTCATCCCAATTAAATTATACTCTGTGTAATGAAGTAAAATATAAAATTACATATATTAAGTTTTAAATTGTTATACGAGTGATCTCGATTTAACTCGTTTAAGTAAGATCTGATCATCTTAATTCCAGACATGATCCTCTATTGAACAAAAGGACATCACAATCTCATAATTCTCATACAAAATGTCATGCATGAGTTTATAAAAAGTTTCTCCAAAACAAACAATAGAGGGGCACAATTATAATAACCTGGGATATTTCTAGCATTTGTGATTCCATATATTTAAAAGAATTTCAATTAAATGGAAATTTAAATGTTCTCAACCAAGCATGGGTAGAATTGACTTAATTGAGTTTTTGGAATTGGGGGAAATAATTTTTTTCCTCCCAACCAAACATGTTGTAGAGCATACTTTAGTAGATCATACATAGTACACATACTACACGCTAAGTCGCTAACACGCAATCAAATATGACAAGTAAAGTTTTGAAACAGGCAGGCAGCTCAGTTAATTTGAAGCCAGGAAATAAACAATCTATAGTAAGTTCTTACAGGAGGTTTCCCCAGTGATCCAAACACTATAGCAACAATAATAATAGCAATAACAATAATAATGAAACTCAGAATGTTGCCTTGCCAAACAACACCTAGCTATGTTTTGACAAGAACTCAAATACAGAAAACAGGGAAGAGAGAAAGATAAGAATAAGTGATCAGGAGTAAAATATGGGTAAAGTGCATCAGAATTAAGAGCAAAACACAAGTGTAGAAATGGATGTACACTTTTTGTATACAATAGAATCCATTTAGTTCTAATAAATGAATAATAGTAGATGTTAGGGTGATGATCGCTTATTGGCTTCTTCTGCAATTGGATTCTTAAAAAGAATTTCAGATTTTCTTTCGTAGTGGATTTACAGTACAGTTCTGATTTTTCTTTTCTTTTTTTGGTTGTTAAGATAATCAAATCTTCTTCCGCTCAATAAAGTAGATTAGTAGCCTCTGCATATATGTTAGCTTTTTATGTACATACAGGTTTTTAAAATAAAATAAAAAAATAACTTGGAAAATAAGTTGCCCCTTCCACCAGCATACAAAACCCTGGCTGCATTCTCTGGTCATTACGAAACATATACATATATATATATTCCAAAGGGAGGTAAATTGACAAAGTGACATACAAACAATGTAGTCATTGGCAATCACATATCAAAACTCACATCAGTTACAACAATGTCCCAATTTTGTATACTTGTACACATCAATGACTCGCTTACACATGCCGGACTGCTTTATGCTTCTTCTTCAAACCAGTAACATTGGCTGCCGGGGATGCTTAACCCTTCCATCCTGTGTCAGTCACATTGAACATGAATAAGGAGTTTGATTTAATATACACAATGAACACTTGTAAGTTGCTTTATTATTATTACTACGTATTATTATTCAATGTTTTTGCTTTATCGGATGTTTTTTTCACTTGCAAGTAAAATAAGAGAAGTAGTTATAAAAGATGAACAATCAAATTGTAAGTGTACAAGAAACAAAACATGACATGCCGCCATATACACCTGATGGATTATAATTTATAAATCTTCACTTTTCATTTTAGAGAGTGATGCAATGCTGCTCTCTTTGTATGACTTCTCCCAATCGGTTCCATCAAACTGTTTGATCTCAACATGAGATAGGGTGCCGTGATCCACACACCTGAATGTAACGGCTATTCCGTCCGGATTCGTCCGTGGAATGTAGAAGGAAGTAATCCCACAGACTTTGCAGAAAATATGCTTTGCAGTATGAGTACCATAAGTGTAGGTGGTAAGGAATTGCTGGGAATCTCCAAGAAGCTCAAACTCTTGAGATGGAACAATGAAGTGGGTGTTTCCTCTCATGGAGCAGTCAGAGCAATTGCATGCCCAAGCAACAACACTAGCTGGTGCCCTCACACGCCATCTCACTCTCTTGCAATGGCATCCCCCCGTATGCATTACCATTCCCGTCGCCATTCTTTTTTCAAGATGGTAACCTCCAAATTAGCGCACATATACTTCCAAGTTGCATGAATATCTGGAAAGTATGAACACAATTATGAGTGTGCTCAAGGCCCGTTTGGTAAGGGTCATTTCTCTTAATATACTGAGTATTATGACAGAGAAATGAGTAAATCAATATACTGAATTGTCACAAAAACATAACACATTTCCTCAAATAAGATGATCATTAGTCATCCTTGAGAACAGGACTCCTCAACTCCTCAAAGAAGATTTAACTACTTTATTACGGAGTATTATATTGGGAAAGAATGGATCCAATTTTTAGGATAGAGCATAACTAGTGTTTTACTCCTATTTGCAACATTTTTGTACAAAAGAACATTCCATGCATCTACTTCTACCAAATAAGTTGAAATACTACTACATACGTATTAGGCTTATTTTGGTAATATGCAAAATAAGCTGGATAGAGCTACCAAACGGAGCCTGAGAGCGGGTTGGATAAGACTCAAAGTAAATATGGATGAAGCAAAGAGTTTATTCAAATGGTGAACTCTTTGCACTGCCCAGTGCCCACCAGCATGGGCTCTCTCTGCCCCTGCCAAAGATCTGGATGAGGATGTAAATCACAGGTTTAGTTCAGAAAAAGTTTGATACTGTGCTGTACACCATAATATGGCCAATATAACTGTTATGTACACAAAATTCACCCTCCATTTAATTTATCTAGCTGCAAATGGATCTCCATACTTGGGCTAGATGAGAATGTATACAAACTTACCACAAACATCATCATTGTATTAGGAATCAGAGACTGATGCGTCCATCAGTAAATATTCAAGTCTAGTATAATTACTCTTACTCTGGTCCAATTCAGATTCCTTAATCCGGGAAGGTTCAAATTGATAACCTCACTTGTCAACAAATTGATTTTTTTCATACCTATTACAAAAGCCATCTACTACCAATTAAACAGGCCAAGAACTCAGAACGGCCAAAAAAATTCCAACACTGATTGAGGTCTCTCCGAGATATGAACACATCATTGAAAATGAAGAGCGGGTAAGGAAATTCAACAACTCATTTGAAAGCACAACAACAGCAGGGAAGAGAGATAGTAGATCGGATTTACCTGCTTCAACTTCAAGAGTCAACTGTAAACATGACTATAATAAGATTGAAGAAAATTTTGAGATTTTTCCCAAATTAATGTTGAATATACAAATATTTTCCAAATTGATGTTGGGTTAAAACTATTTCCCAAACTAATGCCCTGCTAACTAAGGTTAACAATATCGCCGTACTCATCCCCTTCTTACGTAGGAAGAAGAATAGAGGCAGCACAAAATTGGAGAAGAGGCGTTGGTGGGACCCGACAAAATAGAAAATCCCATGTTTTTTAAAAATGTTGTAACTTTTTTATTTGTTCTCCAATTGTCACAATAAATATACAAAAATTTGTAATTTTTCATGGGCTTTCATATTGTTAGGAATCTGCCTATTTAGTATTTTATTAGGGTATTTGAAAGGAGAAATAAATTGGGCTGAGGTCAATTAAGTGGGCTGGGGTCATTTAATGAATCTGTTTATCTATTTTAGTCCCTGTGTGGACTAAAAATAGTTTTATAATAGTAAGTTGGGTAGCTAATAATAGGGAGACTGTCATTTTATAAGATTGTTGCCTTGTTGCCTGAGTGTCCCGATATCCTGTTGCCTAAGTTGAGTTTACCCCTATCAATAAACACCCCTTTTCATCTCATTACCAGATCTACGTTGTTGTTCACTATTTTCCGCAGGATTATTGCTTGATCCCTAACATTGGTATCAGAGCAAATCGCCCCTGGGGGATCTCAAGTGAAGTGCGATTGCCTTAGAACCTTTGTTTCAACGGTAGATGGTAAAAACGAGATCTAATATGGAGCAACAAATGGAGGCGTTCCAGCAGGAGATGAGGGCCACTATTGCCACTCTGGTTGCGACAATGAATGAACAGATCCAGACTAGCGTCGCGGCTTCGATGGCAGCATACAAGGAGGACGATCAGTCCAGGGGAGATCGCGATCACCGCATCATCGTCGCTCGCGATCACCGCACAGTCCAGAGCACTCGAGAGGTAATTCCGTACACTCTCCAGTTCCTACTCGTAGAGTGCATACGGGTCGGAAGGTGGATTTACCGATGTTTAATGGAGAAGGGGCGTATAACTGGATCGTTAGGATGGAACGTTACTTCCGTCTGAACAGGATCGATGAGGAGGATAAGGTGGAAGTAGCTCTGGTTGCGATGGAGGACAGGGCCCTGAATTGGTTCCAATGGTGGGAACAACAAGCGGAAGAAAGAAACTGGGAAATACTGAAGGATGCTGTGATTCGTAGATTCCAACCAGATCTCATTCAGAATCCGTATGGGCCAATGTTGAGCTTGAAGCAACTGGGAACTGTGAAGGACTATAGAGAGGAGTTTGAAATGGTCATCGCGCCCCAGAAGGATATAGATAGGGGTATGCTGCGAGGCATATTCATAAATGGCCTCAAGGAGGAAGTAAAGGCAGATTTGAAGTTATTCAGTTCGAGGTCCTTGTCTGCAATCATGGACAGAGCAATACTGATTGAACAGAGGAATGAGGCAATTTATGGGAAGGGTAAAGCTGCAGAAAGAAGCGAGGGTAAAGACAAGGGACCCCGACACTTCAGACAACCAGTTTGGGGTGAAGGCTATAACTCCAAGCCTGGGAGTTCAAGGCCACCAACTGGTGGCAGAAATGCACCAGACAACAGGGGAAGCCCACCTTGGTTTACTCCTGATGGGAAGAAGGGAACAGAAATAAATTCCTCAGACATAAGAAGAGTAGGGCCTCAGCTGACACAAGAAGAATACCAAGATAGAAGCCGGAAGGGGCTTTGCTTCAAATGTGGTGAAAATTGGAGTAGAGAACACTCATGTAAAATGAAGAATTACAAACTAATGTTGGTGGAAGATTCAGAGGGAGAGGAGGAATTGGGTAACTCAGAAGGGGTAATCCGTGAAGAAGAAAAGATCACCATGGAATCCAAGTCCATGCAGTTAACCTTCATGAACCAGGAGGGACTACCCTCTAAGAGGGATTTTAGGGTGCAGGGGACTCTGAAATGGGCTAAGGGAGAGAAACTAGTAGATGTTCTAATTGATAGTGGAGCCTCACACAACTTCATATCTCAGAAAGTGGTAGAGCAGTTAACCCTCCCTTATCAGACCATTGCTGGCTACAAGGTCCAGCTTGGGAATGGTGATGAGGTCTCCAACAAGGGCAGGTGTGAACAAATAATTCTGAACATGCAGGGAGCTGTCATTCAACAAGATTTCTACATGCTGGAGTTAGAGGGAACGGACTTAGTTCTTGGCATGGATTGGTTGACTGGATTGGGGGATGTGGAGATCAATTTTCAGAAGCAGAGCATAAAATGGCATCAGCTGGGGTTAAGTCAGGCTATTCATGGAGACTCTAAGTCAAAATCTATGAAAGTATCTCTGAAGACCATGTCACAAATTGTACGGGATGCTGGTGATGGCTATCTTATCTACTGGGAAGGCAGAAAAATGGAGGGAGAGGAAAATCAGCTGCAAGATTCCAATTGGGAAGGAATTATGGCAAAATTTTCTGAGGTATTTACTCCCAGACCAGGATTACCTCCTCCTAGAAAGTGTGACCAAGCTATTAACATTGAAGAGGGAGCAGAAGTACCTACCCTGAAGTTTTATAGATACCCGCACGGCCAAAAAGAGGATATAAAGGGGATTATCAAAGAAATATTACAAGAAGGAATTAATGGGAAGAGGAGAATTGTTCAACCAGTTGAAGTTGGTATGTGTGTTCTTGTAAGGGTTCAAACTAGTTTGTTCTTTGATCCGTTTAGAGCTGCAACTCATAGCATGTCTGCCTTAGAACCTTTATATGAAGAGATGGGTTACAAGGAAGAGGCTTCAAGTGTAATTCCAGAGAATTTTTATACCCAGTTTATGCTCCTGGTTGCTGTGAAAGAGGTGATAATGAAAGGGAAAGAAATGAAGCTCCTAGATCAGAAACCAAGGAGGTACTGGGAAGGAAGAGGTTCCAGGATGAAGAAGAAGTTCAAGATCAAGGCTGTGTCTTATTACCCACCTTGAGGGCAAGGTGGTTAATTAGGGGGGGAGTAATGTTAGGAATCTGCCTATTTAGTATTTTATTAGGGTATTTGAAAGGAGAAATAAATTGGGCTGAGGTCAATTAAGTGGGCTGGGGTCATTTAATGAATCTGTTTATCTATTTTAGTCCCTGTGTGGACCTACTACTATAAATAGTAAGTTGGGTAGCTAATAATAGGGAGACTGTCATTTTATAAGATTGTTGCCTTGTTGCCTGAGTGTCCCGATATCCTGTTGCCTAAGTTGAGTTTACCCCTATCAATAAACACCCCTTTTCATCTCATTACTAGATCTACGTTGTTGTTCACTATTTTCCGCAGGATTATTGCTTGATCCCTAACACATATGACATCCATATTATATATATACATAAAAATAAAAAATATTTTTGAGATATAAAAAAATTGTTTTTGAAAATGTCATAATTTTTTTTATTTATACTCCGATTATTTTAAAATATTTATCGAAATTCATAACACTTTATTATTTTTTATATGACACTAATATTTCATAGGTAGGAATAAAAAAAATTAGCAATTTCAAAAATCTAATTTTTAGAGTATTGTACCTTTCTGATATTCTGATGGTCTAAAAAAATCGTGTTGAGGTTTATTCCTTCAACCTTTGGGTCCAACACGTAAGCCCAAAGATTTCGAGTGGATTGTTTAAGTGTGAGTGTATAACTGATCTAACAACAAGTAAGGTGGGCCAAGAAAGAGATTAGCAAGTAAAAGACCAGATATTATTAATGTCTAATAAACCCCCGATACAATACGCTTGCTAAAGGCCGAAGGCCGTTCGTCCCATACTGCAGTGGAAGAGCTACGAGTAATAAGCTAGAATGCTAAGGCTAATAAGTTGTCAACCCTTATAATGAAATAAATGCTGCTATTTATACCATCAATGAGCAGTTGGCATGTTGATGTGGAGAGCTGTGAATGGTTGATGTTCCAACCACCAAATACCCATCATTAAATACGCTTCCCGCCAAAATCTGGGTTACCTCCTAATCCATGGGGACGAACCTCTCCCTGGCTGGGGGCATGCTCATGGTGATGCTTGCAAAGGGTTGTGGGTCGTTCGTATTCGGGCCCTTGGTAGAATTTGTTACATATCTTGGACTGGACCTCATGTGGTCATGGGCTTTAGGTGACAACGTTCGTCGTCCTGGCCTTGGGCCCTTGAAGGCGTGATCCACCGTTGCTCTGACGGGACGTCCATCGAGATAGCTGTTTTGTTAGGCTTGGACGTTCGTCCGAATAATGGGGTAATGAGCCGATCCTCTAGTTGGGCCATTAACCCAACATATCAAAATACATAAATTCTTATTGCTCCCTCCGTATCAATAGAGTACCGCCACATTTCTAATTTGTAAAGTGTTATAACAACTTATTTGTACCCTAATTGTTACAAATCATATATTAAAATTCATAACTTTTAGTTACGTTTCATATGAAACCAATATTGCATGATTAAACTTTTCGTACTCCAATGCATTGTACCTCACTTGTTTAAATTTGCGAGGTTTTTTAAGTCTCATATGAAACCTTTTTTTAGCAACCAAAACTCAATGAAACCTTATTTGTTAAAAAATGACTTTATAACATGAAATATTGGGTTTATATGAAATGTAAAAAAATGAATTTTGATATATTATTTGTAACATTGGAGTACAAATAAAAAAGTTATAACACTTTAAAAAATTGAAGTTTTTTTAAAGTGATAAATTATTTTTCAATATGTATAAAATATAAGTTATGAAAGATAATAATGTTGTATGAATTTCATTAGTGACGTAACATATATCAAAGTTCATAACGACTTATTATCTTTCATGTGCCACTAATATTTCGTACATATTAAAAAATAATTTAGCACTTTAAGAAAACTTCAATTTTTTAAAAGTGTTAAAACTTTTTTATTTGTACTCTAATGTTACAAATACGGAGGTTTTGTGTGATTTTTTTTTCAAAAAAGAAATTAGACAATTAATGTGATATATACCAAAAAGAAAAGTGCATGAGACAGATAAACTAATACAGAGGGAGCAATACGAATTTATGTATTTCAATATTTTTTAGACCATTGGAATAGAAAAAAAAGTATAACAGTCTAAAAATAGATTTTCGAAAGTGCTAAATTATTTGTTTATTCTTACCTATGAAATATTAGTGTCATATAAAAGATAATAAAATTTTATGAATTTTGATAATTTTTTTAAAAATAATCTGAATA